GGGCTGATTATATCGTGCATCCCTAATTACGGGTTATAATCAGAACTTGAGGCAACAAAATCATCAAAATTTATTTAAAAAACAAACAGCTAAGGGAACAAAACCTTGGATTTAGATCAGTTCTCAGACTTCCTATCTGATTAATTGATAAGTTATCTGATAGCTTAAATTCAGCTTTTAATGCTACTTTAGACTCTATAGGCTTTGTTCAAAATGTGCGTAATCCCACACATTCTCATCTTTATACTTTGGACCTTGTGCTGATGTAAGGCATTGAATGCAAAGAAATAACAGTACTTCCTCCCAACCCTGTCATCTCTGACCACTTCAAATTTAATTTAACAGAGCTCTCCTCCCCCTAAAGAAGGTTTCACTTTAACAGACCATTAAAGGATAATGCAGTTATACATTTTAAAGAAACCTGTTCCACCTTTCATGGGCTGAATTCAGAATCGCAATGTTCAAAATTGTTGCTGTGGGGTCACGACGTTGAGAAGGGTTTTCTGAATATTAAGCTGTCGGATTGATGGTGTGTCGGAATAGGACTTGGGACCCTTTTGCCACAGCAGTGGATGTACAAATGGTTTATTTGTTTAATTTTTTACAATGGAGTGGACAGGATGTTTTGATTGGGTGAAGTGTGGGATCATGGTGACAGGCTGGACTCCAGCAGAGAGCAGGCAGGCGCAGCAAAACTCTGCGCTGACCTGAGCCTTGGGGTCTGAGAGAGACACAGCAGCATAGAACCATCATAGATGAAAGGGGGGGAAGTCAGGGCATTATGCCAATGTTCTTTTATATCACTTGTTTAGTTAATACATTTACTAATTGTTCTCTTTTAAAATGCATTTCTTTTTTTTTTAAGAAATATGGATGCGTGTATAGTTTTGTAAGTAATGAAAATGCCTGTGTTGTAGCCGTCTGTGGTGGTGAATGCAGCAGGTGGCTTGACATAACATTTCAAGGCATTCATTTTTGAAAGGCAACAGTGGTTAGACAAACAAAAACATGGAAAGGCTCAGCATTTAGAGTGTGAAGAGAAAGTTTGTCTGATCATTATTATGAATAGAAGAAGGAAGTGTAAAATACACATTGTAAAGAGTTTGTGATAATTTTTCATCAGTGGATGAAGAGCTTTGACTGTGCGCAAATGTTTTCAGTTGTCTTCTCGTTTTGAATGCTGCCTAATTTTGCCCAAACCAAAAAATCTGGACAAATTGACACAAGCCAAAATACACTGTTTAATTGCTATGGTTCCAATTCAGGGCCTTATGACACTGATACTGCGCCTGGTGAGTTTTGCTAGTCTGACAAGGAAAAATAAAATTTTCGCAGTGCTTGAGTGTTGAGGTGGCGATGTGTCTAAATGGCAGCATGTAACTGTGGCAAAATGACTTCATTGCATGTCAGCATTTTAAATCTCACCACTAGATCATAAAAGAAAGTATTTTTTTTTTTTCAAATTATTGTTTCATTATTTGCTCATCTGTATTTTAAGTTTGAACTTCAGTTAGGTGAAATATTAATTTCTGTTCAAAAGTACTGTTGTTGTGGATACTCCCACCAGGTTCAGCAAAAAAGAACGTAAATGTTCATGTGTAGTGTTACGATACAATTATTGCACATTGAGCTTGATAGGAACTTCAGTATCTAGATAACTGACTTTTGGACTGTCTTCTTATCTGCTATAGTGTTTCACCAAACCCCTTATGAATTGTGGCATTCTTAAAACATGAGCACAGGCATTTATCAAAAATCTGTCCTAAGACAAGTGACAGACAAGTTTGGAGGTTGATCAAAAGCTAAAGGAAAGATTTTTGATGTATGAAAAAAATTCTGAAGAAATAGAGAACAAAAAAACTAAACAAAAAAAACAAACTTTTTTTTAATACCTTCTTGGACATCATTATGGCAAAACACCACTGGAGATGGAGTTGCTGCCAGCAATGAACTGTTGATCAAACAGTCAGCGTGCCAGAAATGACAATATCAACATAAAGGAGAAAGAGAACACAGGACAGGTATCAGTGGTGCATATGCAGATGTCTACATACAGTAATTCATTGCAAATACACAAAAAGAAAATGTGTATCGTCTGCTACAGTTCTGGTGCAACTGATGACCGACATAAATCTAACTTTTGATTATTAAACTTGTTGCCGATTCTAACAAAACTGTACTTCAGACACGTTAAAAGTTTTAATGGATACAAAGATGACACACTGTCATAAACGCACATAATCTAAAGCACCAACTTCACAGATAAAACCTAATATGTCACAGGAGAAAAGTAAGACCAACAGAGTAATAGATGGACAAAACAAAGGAAAATTGAAACTTAAAATTTCTGTTAAAAAAAACTCACATTATGTCATAATGTAGGTCTCAATAAAAGTAATCCTAACTTTGTTTGTAAGGACAGCTGCATATCTTCAAGATACATAAACACATAACAGATAGAAAGCGGTCCAATTCTGCACTGGGTCAGACTTTCGAACTATGACCAGGCAGCTGAAGTGAAGTCGTGTACACATGGGTTCTAAGGTCATTAGTTGGTCTGATAGATGCTGCTGAGATTAGAATATGCTTTCCTTTAGCTCTGTTCAAGTAAGAAATAGTTTTTAGAACTATTTTGCAAGCTTGTTTGACACAGAAAAGAAAAGCTGTACAAATAAATGGACAAGCAGATGTACAGTGATTTCAAAATAAAAGAGTTGAGAAAGTATCAACCAAAACTTTAAGTCATGGTAAACAGCCCTCTGGTGTTTCTTAAAAAGCACCATTTCCCCATGTGGGTAATTAAACCATTTACAAGGGTTTAAGTTAATAATTAGCTTTAAAAAGCTATAAAGAAATCCAGCAGTTTTATCTAAACATTTAGTTTGGCACTGAATGAAGTAATAAAAATATGTTTTTCTCCATAAAGGTTGGTAGAGAATGCAAATAAGAAGCCTTTTGGAGTAGCATACATTTATTTTATTTGAACAAAAGGCTATGAAAGTACAAACAAAACTTGATATCATAAGAGGTTAAAGAAGAAAAACAAAACAGACTGCTTCCTTAAAAATATTAGAAATCTAGTTGGAAAGAAATATTCCCTTCTAAATAGCTGCTTAGGAGTTTTTAAAGATATAGAGGACTATCTTTTATTTCCGGGTGGATCATCTAAATAAATGGTCCTCCTAATTGTCAATCATTCTGGTGATATGTTTACGTAAGGCCATCCTACGTGCCTGCCCCATTAGCTATTTTTTTCTGAGTATCCACATTTTCAGGCGTATATATCTGTGGTGAGCTACAGTTTCAGTCACTCACTGAAGCTCATCGCGATTCTTTGGAAATGGCAGAGGTTCGTAAGAAAAAAGTGTCTATAAAAGTGTATGAGAAGAAAAGAAAGTAATTTTAGAAAATTTAACAGCCTAACTCACCGGAGACTCTTGAGCTCAGCAGCCAGGTCAAAGGTCACCAGTTTCTTGTACTTTTTCACATGTGCTTCACGCACAAATTTAATTTTCATCACTTGATCCATGTATCTTTGAAAACAGCAGAGAATGAGGGATTAATGTAACAACACAGTACAGCAACTGTACAGATATTCAGGGAAAAGAATGTTTTTCTTCCTACTTGTCAATGGTCCCAAACAGCCACTTGGGCTCTTTGTTAAAGGGCATAACCATATTATGGAAGCGTGCCACCTTGGTGGCAATCTCAGCCGAGATGACGGGATCGGAGAGCTGTTCTGTTCGCATCCGGGTGTTCTAGGTAGAACCAGGGACACTTAGAAAATAAATAAAAACAAAACAGCTATCGTCTAGAATAACAGAAATAGGTATTTGTAGTTCAAATGTTGCGTACCGGTAAGTACTGTTCCAAGCGTCCCTCTGGAAAGATGCCATAAAGTTTTGGACCCAAAGTTCGCTCTGCTAAAATAGCAAACATCACACTCTCTAGTACCAGAGAATCCACACCCTGCGTGGGAGAAAAGAGAGAGAAGGAAGAGTTTGTTACCTCTTACAAGGGAGGAACACTTATAGATATTAAATATTAGCAATAAGTCAGGGTTCTGACCAAGCACATTTTCTAAATGACTCATAATGAGCTCACCAACCTGTAAGATGGCACCGTAGACTCTCAGGAGCACCTGACGAGGTTCTTCTCCCATACATTGGACATGGTCCGGCAAACTACACAGGTACAGCAGGTTACTCAATCCGCCACTGTGAAAAGATTCAAAGTACAGTATAATTCGCTGATGAAGGTTCTCAGTCATCCAGGTCATACTCATTCCGTAAAAATTCAAAAAATATCCACTGGACTTGGTTTCAAATTTGAATTGAGAAAGCTTCCTGGAGAGGTGGCGAAACGTCTTAAATCTTGGAAACCAAGTCTAGTGGATATTTTTTGAATTTTTACGGAATACAGTATAATTCCTCCATATCCTGTTCATTATGAATGCCAAGCAAATGCTGCCACTTTGGACAGACTGATTCCAAGTTGCTCTGCAGGGCCGGCATCAGATATGGCTAACAGGACTGCTAATAAATGGAAACAAACAGGCCTGTCTTGATATAAAATTTTACCTGATGAAATATTTTCCCAGAAATTATTCCGCTAAACAATAATATTGTTGTTCTGAAATTATTTTAACCTACCTAAAGAAAATAGCTAAATTATGTTAGTAAAGTTTCTCATAAATCAATAAACTTTCATTTTTAAAGAACACTGGAATTGGAAGGCATTTTGAATATACAAAATAAATAAAATGGATCCTTTAAACTTTGTTTGCAAAGAAAATGTGCTTGCATAAAGATCAACCAAAAACAATCCATCCATTCATTTATTTTCTGAAAAGCTTTACCCCAAGCGGGATCGGGAGAACACAGGGAGAACATGCAAACTCCAAGCAGAAAGACCCTAGATTCAAACCCGGAACCTTCTTGCTGCAGGGCAGCAGTGCTAAACCACTGCACCACTGAGCAGCCCTTAAATCAACCAAAATAAACAAATGTTGGGGGGAAAAAAAATAAAAAAAATCACACAACATACAAAAACACTTCGATCCCCTTTATTTTTTTTGTGGTGCTGTTTAGCTGTGGAATTGCCGTTTGTTGACAGGTATGTTTTTTTCATGGTACTTCACATTTGGTTTTAAATTTCCCTTTCAACTAAAGTAAAGGGCATGATCTCTGTAGGGATGAAGCGACCTATAGCGTCTGTAACGTGCATTACTATGAACTGAACTTTCTGGCATTTCCTTTAGCAATAGTGATAGTGGATTCTAGGAAAGAAGACGGCCCATTTGTTGAAAAAGTCGACCACCGTTTTACTCTGTTGTTACACTCTGTGGTGCATAGCAACATAAGGCCAATATGACTAGCAACTACCTGATGCATGAGTTAATTTCTCCCTACACTAAGGAAACAAGGAGGAAGGGCGGAGTGGGGAATCAACGCATCATAGTGAGACCTTATGTCACAAAGAGACGCACAGAAGACAAACAAGTATGCAAACAGAAACGATCAAGATCAAAGTTATCATAGATCAAAGTTATCATTGGAATAATTTCAATTGTTTGACTGTTTTAATGTTTATCATGACTTATCTAAATGGGCCACTACTATTAATACTAATACCTAATTAAGGTAACTCTTATTTCTTCATATCCTGTGAGTAAACTAAAGAATGCAAGATAAAAAAACACACAGGAATCTTACTGAAACCGATGATTTGAAATTGTTGCAACAGATATGACAGTTAATTTTAATTAATACTATGCTTTTAAATCTGGGACTCTTAAGAACTCTGAAAAAACTTGCTCAATCCAAGCCTGAATACACAATTTCAAAAAAGACACAAAGCAAATATTTTAGCGTGTAAAAACTGTGTTCATGCACATGAGCTAAAAAGCACATACATTTAGGACCATGGTGAAAGTGGTGGTCCTAGACTACAATTTGGGTGGTGGGGGCCGAGTTTTTACACTGGGCACAGAACAAAAGAATAACAAACACGCACTCACACTTAAAAAATAAAACACAGCAGAAGCGCTTCACTTAGAAAATCAAATGACCAACAAAGCTCAAGTTACAGAGCTCTGATCTAATATGGCCAAAGACTAAAGGAGATCATTTTTAAACAATTAATTAAGAAACTTAAAAGTAAATTATCCAATTGGTCCAAGAAATTGATCAGTTAGGATCGCTTCTCTAAGCCCACACCATCATAAGAAATGAATTTAGTATCAGACTGTAAAACTGATATAAAAGTAGGTGAAAGTTTTCTTTAAACAATTGTATTTCCTTAAATACTTATTCCAAGAAAAAAGGACTACTTCTCAATTTCTGCAGTGTATGTTTTCAAAACAGGGGCCATGAGCAATTTAACAGGGCAATTTGGCCTGAAAATAATAAGAAGCCTTCATCAACATACACCTGCACATATATATAAAGCTTCTTCAAATATGAAAGAAAACAGAGATTTTAGAAACATCATAGAAATATGATGTTGTTCCTGCTGCAAAATATATTCTTTTGATATTATTAAAATTAGCAATTGCAAATGAATAAGTAACTTTTGAAACGATGACAGAGATCAGTGGCATTAAATTGATTGCACTCAATCTGCCTTGTATAAATTAAAAATGACATAATTCTATATCCAAGATAACATCAAGCAGACTTTAGTAACAGAAATACTGCGATAACTGATTTAATACTGTGCAGCTTTATGTGAAAGTTTAAATGGCTAGCAATTAGGTTTTTTTTAGGAAGCTGAACTTTTTAATCTCTCTCTACAATAAAGACGACAACTAGATCATTTAAACTGAACTGATATTCTTTAAAATGAAAATCTAGTTGTATGCTAATTGGATTGCATTTGTAAAAATATAATTTAATGGTTTGTAATTAGGACTATATTCATTTTTTTTAATTAAAATATTGCATCAGATTGAAATGTTCATTAATGACAATTCTGATCGATTAGTTACATATGGTGCTAAAATAAAAAAAAAGTGTTAAACTGAGGGGATTAGGGCTACTGAAAAAATAAAGTTTTTAATTTTTGTTTTTTTAAATTTGATTTCAGTTTAATATGGGAAAAAAGTCACAATTTTGACTTTTTTCTCAGAATTCTGACAGCTAACAAACATCAAGCTGTAGCAATGTCTGTTTTAGAACCTAGCTCTCTTGTTTTAATCACCTTCTGCTCTTCCATTAATGAAATAGTATCACCGGGGACCCCTCAGGCACGTAAAAAATTAAATTCAGTCCTTTTCCACCAATGTGTTACTGGCCCTCCCAAAAGTCAGAATTCTGAGATTAAGGTCATAATTCAGTGATTAAAGTCAGAAATCTGAGAAAAAAAGTCAGAAATCTGAGAAAAAAAGTCAGAAATCTGAGAAAAAAAGTCAGAAATCTGAGAAAAAAGTCAGAATCCTGAGAAAAAAGAATTCGGAAGTTAAAGTCAGAATTCTTAAAGTCAGAAATCAGGATTCTGAGATTAAAGTCAGAATTCGTAGAAAAGGGTCACAATTTTGACTTTTTCCCCATATTAAACTGAAATAATATTTAAAAAGCAGTTAACTTTTTTGTTTTTCAGTGGCCCTATTCCTCTTCCTTAGATTTCTAAAAATATACAGATCTAAGTTGTAATACTTCCCATAGTATTTTAGTAATAGGTTTATTGACGTCTTTTAGGGCAAATGACTAAAGAATAGATTCACCTCAGAAAGCCATTTACATGAACCGCCCCTGCTGTTTGGGGATTTATGGGCTGTAAAGATAAAAGCTACATTCAAAATAAATTTAAAGTATCCTATAGTTTCCTTTAAATTCAAACTATTTGTAAAAGCACATATCCTAGCTTAATGATACAGCATTTCGTGCTTTGTTCCTGTCATTAATTACCTGACAATACTAATTTGAAAGTCCGCTTCCTGGACTGTTTTCCAGGATCCAGACAAAAAGTCTCTGCACCATAAAAAGGCCCTGCTTTTCGTTTCCCGGTCGACTTCCTCGCTTCTCCCATCCCGGAAAGCCTCAGCTTCCGAGTCGTCATCCACCAGAGGACTCGGGCACCTCAGATGTCTCTCATTTAACAGAAGGGAGCTCGCTACTCCCTTCTTCTCCACCGGAAACCCGGCGTCTCCTGAGGATTGGCTCGGGCTGGTAATATAACTGCCGCGGAGCGCTGGCCCCGGTTTATCCCCTCCGTCCGAGCCCTCCGCGCCGCCACTATTCCGGTGGTTCGCTTGCATCGTGACTTTCCGGGTGATGAGTATCTGAACACCACCGTAAAATGTCGGTATGGTGCGGTGGCGGGACGGATTCGCTGACACACTCAGGTCACTGGTAAAGCTGCTTAATCGGAAGAGCCGAACATAACTGGACAACCTGAACCGCATGGAGGTGCTAAACGGCTTTAAGTATGATGACTTTTTATTACCCTAGCAAGCGCAGCCAGCAGTAACATCCGTAAAGTCAAAGCGGACTAATGAACATCCAATCACAATTCAGGGACCTCAACCTCATTGGTCAATGATATGTCCGCTACTGCGCAAAGACTTCTGGGAAGTGTAGTTCTACGTAAGACAAGTTGGTTCGGGGGAAAAAAACCCTGGAATTTATTAACTGTGACTTTCTAAAATATTAAATAATTACTTAATAAATTAATTACACAACCCACGACTGCAATTATTATATAGGCGTTTACATGAAATTATGTTGTAGGGCCAGTTAGATAGTTTATATATATATATATATATATATATAACTTATAATAATATATATTAAATAAATATATATATATATTTATTTTCAAATTAGCCATTTATTTTTAAATATATCCCTTAACTACTTTAGACCACATATTAAACATGGATATCAGTACCTAGATTTAATTGCAAATCCCCATATCATTATTAACGACAACAGACATAGAAGGAGCTAGATATTTAGCTATAGCATATACATTTTATTTAATAGTCTGTTGTCTGTAGCATACACTCTATTTATTGTTGTAATTAATATCAAATAATAGCACAAACAGATAGAATATCCTGGATCAATTTTGAAAGCCAGTAGAATGTGGATTATGCCTTGTGTCATATATATCCTTACTGGATAATCATAATATTCATGTAAAACACTTATAATAATAATTTCCATAGAAGCTGATTTTTATTTAATTTCTGTCTAGAGAATAGTAATAATTGATTTTGAGTCCTTTTTGTCCTTTGCCTTTTTCTTTCCCTTTATTAAAAAATTTAATTGGTGACATTCTGAGGAAAGTATGTTGACTTAACTTTTCAGATGTAAACAAATCTTCATAAGATGTTGTTTTTATCTAAATTTTTTAGCCAACATCATTTAATCTTTGTGCAAGTGGCCGTTTTAATCATTTTGATTGAATATGATTTAATATTTTGTTAAAATACTCCTTTGTGTTAAAATAATGCATTACAACTATGATAGATTTGGTATTTTGTTTTTATTGTTTTGTTTTGTTGTTTCAGTGAAAGTGAAATTCTTGAGTTAGCAATTTAAAAGATTTTAAACTATATAAACTTCAGCACAGTTTTTTTTAAAAGAAAAGCATTAACATTAATATTTGTTTCTTATTACTTTAACAGTGTTGTTTATCAATGTTTAAAAATGTTTTTGTGTGTGTGATATGCAGAGAATCAAATTCAGCCAACACATTGAGGTTTTTATTGAGGTGTTTATTTTAAACTCAGTTGATTTTAACGACACATCAAGAAATTAGATGTGATGATGAGAACGCTGATGCAATGTTTTTACTCAGTAACAGTAAAGACCAGTTCCTTACTGCTAACAACAGTGGCTTCTTCTCTAGAAAGCTTCTTTGTGGAGCCCCCAATCTCTCTCTCTGTACAAAAGTAACAAGTTTGGATAATAGTTAGTAAAATCACAATGTACCACAGTCATTTTAATCACAGAAGTAATTATAATTACTGTAACTGTGAAAAAGGGCAATACTCACTTTTCCTGGAGCATCTGGGCTCACAGCTGTTGGTGTTAGAAGGCTGGCATACAGCAGCATTACAATGAATATACACCTAGAGGACAAAATTGAGAGGTGAAAAGAGGTTCTTTAAAATGCAAATTATTTTGCATGCTAATATTTTTGTTTTTGTGGAAATACCATTTAATCCCCTTGAAGTAGTAAAATATAAGATACTTCCTTATTAAAACTATTAACATCAGATTTATATTTTTCATTATTGGTATTTCTAAATAAGAGATATGCATATTTACAGAAACATGAGTTAGAAAATTTGATAATATGATATTCCATCTGTTTTTGTAATACTCATACCTGTTCCTGTAGCGGAGTCATTGATGGATCTGAGGGTACCTTCTTACTAGGATTAGACTGAGCCATACCCACAAACGTGAACATCTTGAAAACAAAACGCCTGTAGTGGGTTGGAAACATCAGTCCAGATGAGCTATCTACAGGGAGGAGTCGTGTTCTGTAGCGGTCATCAACATATGGGCAACTGTTGGGAAAAAAAAAAAAAAGAAAAGAAAAAAAGAATAATGTTAAAAATGAATATAAAAAAATGTTATTAAAAGTCAAGACCTAAATCCACTTACCCATCAATAAGTAAGTCCCACTGTGGAAAACTCTGAGGATTATTGCTTGTAGTTGCCCAGCATCTTCCAAGAGTCAAAACAATGTTGGGATCAGTTCTCTCTAGAATTCGGACTTCAACATACACTGGGTCTCTGAGAACCTTTTGGACTGGGTAGTCAGCATCTCTGAAGTAGGAAGTGAAGGCCACTTCCTCTGTGAGGAGAAAAGCAGTGGTCGGTGAGGTGTTTGCATTTTGGAAATGGCCAGTGTGCAAAACATGTCCTTTCTGCTTACCTTCGATACAGCCTTTGACATTACATTCTCCATTGCCAAGCAAGAGCTCCACACGCAGAGGTCCAGGAGCTGCAACTCCAGGTGGTGGAGGAAGCACACCAACCTCAACGACCAAAGCCTCAATAGTAGTGCCGATATATCTGCACTGGACCATTAGACTAGAAAGAAAAAGAAATAAACCCTATATATATGCTGATATATATATATATATATATATATATATATATATATATATATATATATATATATATATATATATGCAGTTGTGTGCGTATGTAATAAACAATAAAAGCCATACTCGTATTGGCTGTCCCTGGTAATAGCCCCAAAAGGTCCAACAGCCACTTCATATGAAGAGGACATCCTGTTCTCATAGACTATGACACCTGGTTCCTCCTACGGGTAAAGGAAAGGATTTCTTTTTGAATAAAAAAAACCAAAGTCATACGCACATCACAGGGAAAAGATAGAGTTCTAGACATTACCGTCATGACTGTGCCACACTGAGTCACTCCAAATTGGTATACAGCAAAAGCAGAAGTTGTACCAACAGGACCACAGTTTGCACCGCTTCCAAGAAAACTGATTGACTCTAAGTCAATGTTGGGTAGAGTTGCATCTCTCGCCACAACTATAATGAACTGGCCGTCCTTGGTGCACTGAAGTGTCACTAAAAATCAGACAGAGATTTTTTTTTAAATTATAATTTCTTGTTTCAATGTAACATTCACAAGAGAGTATCTTTGCAAAATGTAGTTTGAAAGAATAAAAAAAAAAGAACTCACCATATTTGCCGTAGTAGCACATGCTTCCATCATAGCAACAGTTTATAGCTTGACATTCGTTGGCATTGGTGCCAGGGGGCCCACATTGTATCTTGTGGGCCTGAGGAACTTCACAGGAGAGAAATGAATCTGTAGGTGTTATAGGATTTGAGGGTTTCTGAGGTCCTCCAGGTTTCTGGGGTATCTGAGGTCCTCCAGGTTTCTGGGGTGTCTGAGGTCCTCCAGGTCTCTGGGGTATCTGAGGCATTGTAGGCTGGTCAGGTTTTTGGGGAAACGAAGGAAACTGAGGTCCTCCAGGTCTCTGGGGTATCTGAGGCATCGTAGGTTGGTCAGGTTTTTGGGGAAACGAAGTAAACTGAGGCCTCGGAGGTCTTTCGGGTGTCTGAGGTTTACCAGTATCCCCAGGCTTTTGAATTATTGTAGGTATCTGGGGATTGATGGGAAAAAATGGCTGAGGTTTACCTTGAGCATCTGCCAGGTAGCCATGAATGGCGATGGCCAAAAGACAGCAGTAAATCAGCTTCATTGTTATGGCCTTACAGCATAGAGTTATTTGCAAATAACACAGAATGCTGTGGAAACTGTGGAGTAAATATCCTGACTTTTATAAGGTGCCTGCCACACTGACTAGACGTCTCTCACTCTATTTGCTGCCCACATCTGCCAATCAGATTACCCCAGTGCTGACCTGACATGGTGGAGAGATTAGCTGCAAAGCTAACAAGTAATTTCCAAATCTTTAATGGAAATATTTACTTAAGATAAATTATATCCATGTTATATAAAAGTATATATAAATTGCAAACTTGACGCCTACAATAAAAGCATTTGTGTGGCCTTGGTATTTTCTGAAATTCTGAATCAAAATATATATTTATGATTTCAGAGAGCAAACTCTTCAGAGGGTCTTTATGACCTCAAACAAGCATTAACAAACAGTAAACCCAAATAAATCTTATCTTTTGGTTTGACATAGATAATTATTAATTACAACTACAGGTCATATGACTGTTTACAAAAAGCCCTGTCAGTATTTTGTGCTATGTTTAAGCCAACACAATCTTAACAAAAAAGAAAGCATTTTATAACACAGATTACCTTGAGTTTATACGGTGGATATTGGGTATCTTTTTGTGAAGTAAAAAGTGTACATAAGTGTCTCCTTTTCTCATATTTGTTGAATAATAGTAGTGAAGTAGTAATGCCATGAGAAGCAGGATTTTCTTACAATTATGTTACATTTTATGTAGAAAAAATGTACTGAGTTACAAATATTTTGTTAATAAAGAAATATCAACTCTAATTACTGGTAATATATTGGTTGTACCCACTTACACATGTACAAAATATGTACTATGGTTTGAAAACTGTCAGAACAAACACTGACAGATCTGGCAAATCTAACATTTGTTAAAACAGGTATTTCTTAATTCTGTGAAAATAATTTCTAATTGATGTTTTCCAAGTAGGTTACATTTTTTACATTACTTCCAATACATGATTTTTTTAAACATGGTTTTCTTTTTCTGATTGAAATATTGCTTTTAAAACAGAGAAACACTACACCATTTATGTTTTGTATAGCTAGATACATGTATTTCGGCTGGTATTTTTAACATTTTAAATGTTAGTTTGAGAAATGGAAATTTCTCTGTGTGGTTGTGGGCTTGTTTTTATCTTGTAGGGACAAAATTTAATACGGTAAATATGCTATATGGTGGGGACTTAAATTTGAAGTTCTGGCATCCATCCATCCATCCATCCATCCATCCATCCATCCATCCATCCATCCATCCATCCATCCATCCATCCATCCATCCATCCATCCNCATCCATCCATCCATCCATCCATCCATCCATCCATCCATCCATCCATCCATCCATCCATCCATCCATCCATCCATCCATCCATCCATCCAATAAAATCTATTGTGCTTGTTGTACTTTTCCAATTCATTTTACAAAATAATTATTTCAATAATGGAAAATGCCAATTAGAAATAATGTTCTGCAATAAATAAGTAATAAAAAATGTCTTTGTTTCTCTTTTTTTCTCCTTTCCGTTTGGGATGCCATTCAGATTTTTCTGAATTATTCGTTCTTCTAAATCAGGGGTGTCAAACTGGTTCCAGAAAGGGCCGTGTGGCTGCAGGTCTTCTTTCCAACCAAGCAATATCACACCAGACTCCAGTCACCTCATCAAGTCATCTTGTTCAGATTGGACTCACTTGATGAGGTGACTGAATTCTGGTGTGATATTGCTTGGTATGAAAGAAGACCTGCAGCCACACGGCCCTTTCTGGAACCAGTTTGACACCTCTGTACTAAATGATTGCCTCATGGTCATCCTAATGCTTTGCAGGTGAAACTGACATGGTTTGTCACTGAATAGGACTTAGACCCTACTGGATACCCTTTACAAAATTTGAATTGGCAGGACACTGATCTATTTGCTCAGGTCAGGGAAACCTAACCTACGGTCGCCATGACTCTTACTGACCTGTTTACTTTCAGTTTGCCAACTTTCTTTTGTCATTTACTTTAGAAATATTTTTTGAACAACAAGAAAGACTCAGTGTGTCAATTTCAGTTCTATAAAGCTTAAAAGATAAATTATCTGCTTTGGAAGCTACTCTCATTTTTGAGTAAGAGCTGGTATGATTTAACCGATCTCTGTTGCTAAAGTGAGGTTGGGACATGTGGTGTGGGCAGGTCAGGAGGTGGGATTGCAATCCAAGTCAATAGAATTACTCCATTATAAAAGCAGGTCCACATTTCCATATTCCTTACAGCACCTGGTGAGCTCTTTTGATCACTTGTGGTTGTGAAGACATGATCATGAAATTTACTGGTGTTTGCGCTGTGGTGCTGGCCATGCTTGGCAGCTTTTGCCATGCTCAATATGGAAAGAAAACAACACCACCTCAGACACCACAGCAGCAGTTTCAGACATTTGAAAAAAAAATTGAATGGTCATATCCTGGTGATCCCCAGATTGCTCCCAAACCAACTGGGCCATTTGAACAGAGATTTCCTGTTGCTGCTGCAACTGTAGCTGTCGAATGCAGAGAGAGCATCGCTCACGTGGAGGTCAAGAAAGACATGTTTGGCATTGGCCAGCCTATCAATCCAAATGACCTCACCTTGGGTAACTGTGCTCCTGTTTCTGAGGATAATGCTGCTCAAGTGTTGATTTATGAATCTGAACTGCATCAATGTGGGAGCCAGCTAGCGGTAAGACTATGACAAAAACAATAACATTTATATATGTTTATTTGAATATTGTACCTGTTTATGTTTGCTCCAACTCTTTTTATGCCTGTTGTTTTTAGCTGACAAATGATGCCCTCGTCTACACCTTTATTCTGAACTATAACCCCAGAGCTGTGGGAGCCTCTCCTGTTATAAGAACCTCCCAGGCTGCTGTCATTGTGGAATGCCACTACCCAAGGTTTGTAGCTCAAAATCAAAAATATATATATATATATATATATATATATATATATATATATTTTTTTTATTAAATGTATATTACTTCTTAGCAAAGCTTGGAACCTATGAATGCCTCAATCCCTGTTATTTTTCTTAAGCAAGGCAAAGAGTCTGCTGATTATAGTTGAATGTTTATATTTTATCATTTAGGAGGCACAATGTGAGCAGCCTTCCTCTCGATCCCCTCTGGGTCCCATTCTCTGCAGTAAAGATGGCTGAGGAGTTCTTGTACTTCAGCATGACACTTGTGACTGGTGAGCTTGAAAAAAGAAAAAAAACCACATCTATTTTAGCAGGGCAGAATTCTAACATCAGCATTTTTGGTTCAAAATTACATTTTTAAAAATTATAACTTAGCTGGATAAAGCAGGTATGTGAAATTAAAAGAAACAGGTGCAAAATTTCTGGCTTTCATTGGTCGTTTTTAAATGAAAGCTGTTTTTATACTCCTACTACTTTTTTGGTTTTTTTTTTATCTTTTGGTCATGATTCAATTTTCATGCCTATTTGAGAAGGGTTGCTCCCTATATATGTTAAACTTATCTAAATGTTCTACTGCTTCCTATCGATGTAGAAGAAGTTCGTAATGAGAAACCACATTTAAAAAGACACATTACAAAAATACAAGTTGATATAACACTGGGGGCCTGATCTTCAAAAATTCCAAATAAGAGGAGCTAAGTTGCATTTGTAATTTTAAGTGCAACAAGTGGGCGTGTTGCTGGTGATCTGCAAAGATCTGCTCTGCAAACACAAAGATGTTTGCACCTGTTTTAAGACACACAAACCCTCTGAGGATCTAAGAGTTAAAAAAAAAGGTTGTTTAAAGAAATGTTTCAAGTTTTTGGAAGCCTGACAAGAATATAGTGTGAATGGATGTTGTAAAACCTTAATTAATGAAGAGATTATAATCTGAACTTAATGCTCTAACCAGCTTTTGGACTTTCTAAGCTTGCACTGAAGGGAAACAGACAGAGGTGGGAAGAATCTTTTAATAACTTAAGTAAGAGTAGCACTATTTCCTCATATTTTTACTCAGGTAAAAAGTAGCCTTTATGAAACACTCAAGTAAGAGTAAAAAAGTATTTAATAAAAAGGCTACTCAAGTACTGATAATTGATCCACTTACTATACATGATCATAAAAACTGATTTAATATTTTATAGAATTATGTACAACTTAACAAAGTAGTGTGATATGCAAACTCTTGTGTTTTAGAGAACTGAACAAATACCATACAATAATTACATAATAGGAAATTAAGTAGAAAGAATACTATTCAGAATACGCTTTATGAGTTATAAAACTTTAAAAAAATCAACAATTAGAGTATTTAAGAAAAGGTTAATTCGCATTATAGCATTTACTGTGATTTCCCTTGACCTCCAAATCACATGGCAGACTCAGCAGATAGAAAAGTAACATCTAACCAATTAGCCATTAGCACAAAAAAATAAGAAACTGTTTCTCTCAATTTTACTAAAGTAAGTGTAGAGGTACTCACATTTTTACTCTAGTAAAAGGAAAGAGCACAATACCATTAAAATACTTCCAAAAATATATTTTTTCAAAATGTTACTCAACTAAATGTAATTGAGTAAATGTAACTAGTTACTTCTGACCTCTAGAAACAGAGGGGCATATATGGTATAATTAAAGTGTGGGGAATTGCTGCAATTGTTAATCTAAGGCCACAGCATATGTATTTTTGTAAAGTAGTTTCCAATGCTGCAAATAGTTTTCAGAAACTCTATATGAAATCTGTTCAACTCACAGATAAAAACAAAACCAAAAACATTTCATTTTTTCATTGTGCAGATGACTTCATGTTTGAGAGGCCAGTGTTCCAGTATTTCCTGGGAGACCTGATCCGTGTAGAGGTTGCAGTCATGCAGTACTTCCACGTGCCCCTGCGTGTTTATGTGGACAGATGTGTTGCTACACTCTCCCCTGATGCAACCTCCACCCCCAGTTATGCCTTCATTAATAACTTTGGGTAAAGTATTTGTTTTTCTTTTCCTAAGAGCACTAAAGATGATTATAATATTCCCGATCTGGCATAAACGCTCACATTTTTCACTACCTCATTTTTTTTTTTCATTTCCATGAGTACAGGTGTTTCGTTGATGCCAGGATCACAGGCTCTGACTCAAAGTTCCTGGCTCGCACTGAAGAGAACAAGCTTCGGTTTCAGCTGGAGGCCTTCAGGTTCCAAAACTCTGAAAGTGGAGTGGTATGCTTCACCAAGACTAGCACAAACTTTTTTTTTTATTTTTTATTCTCTATCCTGCAGTATTAACCCTAGTCCTCATCTGCTTTTACAGATCTACATTACCTGCCAATTGAGGGCGACATCCACTTCCACTTCCATAGACAGCCAGAACAGAGCATGTTCCTACTCTGGCAGGTGAGTTTGCTTGCATACATGTTTCATAAATAACTATTGAGCTACTTTTTAAGTCTAACATTTGTCTTCCCAGATGGACTGAGGCCAGTGGAGTTGATGCAGCTTGTGGTTCTTGTGACTCTTCTGATGTGGTGCCATATTCCGCTCCAGCAGTTGAATTTGGTAACCCAGTTGCCCTACCTGGAGGCAACACTGGTGGAGGAGGACAGCCTGGGTTTCCTAAAATCCCCTTTCAGCGTCCAAGGAAAAGTCGTGATGTGACCAATTCTGAAGGTACGTCTTTGCTCCTGTAATGAAGCATAGATATTTTTATTATTACTCCCAGGTGTAAACGGTATGCTTGCCTCATTAAATTAACTATGATTTCTAAATTTTTGTGCCTAACATCTATTTTTTTTTTCCTGTCAGTTTTCCAATATGAAGGCACGGTCCGTATAGGTCCAATCCCCGTCATGGAGAAGAAGATTTGAAGAAAAAAAGTCCTATGTGATCTACTACTGTTGCCATGAAGACTTAAATAAACAGTATCATTGGTTCACTTCTCTATGTTATGTTCTTGCCTCTTGATGGTTTTTCTTAAGCATTTACACCAATCCTGCTCCATCTTTTGAATCTGCCTAAAAGCTACAATCCTCAATAGCTTCATAAAATCTTGAGAATGTGAAAAATAACATTTAGGAAAGATAAAAGACATCTTCTTTTAGAATCAATAATGTGATGGTAAGATTGTGTGGCTTACCATCATCTAGCAATAAATCTGTGACCATCACCAGTCCAAAGACAAAAATTGCAACCTTCTAAATGCTTCTTCAATGTCAATTTTCCGCTGCGCTGTAGGGAATAAATTTAATCTAGAATCGCAGACGAGGGGTGTGAACCCATCTGTGGTTTATAATTGCTAATAAAAACAAAACTGGCACATTGCACACACACACACACCCATACTCGTTCTGCAAGGAGGACGTGTGTTGGCTCCCATTGATTTTCAGTCATTTTTAACCCTTTCTATGCCCTAACCCTAAAACTAACCCTGAACCTAACCATTATCAATGCATACCTCACCCTAACCAATTAACACCTTAGCCCCAAACCTAACCATTAGCAAAATAGCATATGAGGACTGGCAAAATGTCCTCACTTTGCAACAACTGCTCCTCAATTTGATGGTGAAATTGGAAAAATGGTCCTCACTCTGAAGGCACACACACACACACACACACACACACACACACACACACACACACACACACACACACACACACACACACACACACACACACACACACACACCAAACAAAAGAAATAAGTTAAATGTTACATTAATGGTTGAAAAATAAGATTTCCCACCACTGTGCAGCCCAGAATTTAATATAGAATTTAAATAAATAAAAAAAAAAATGTAGCCTACATTTAACCATGTAAAAAAATAGGAACCACAATACTCAAGCTCTTCAACAGGCTTGTCTTTCTTCTTACAAAGCCCTTCCCATCAGCTGTGCCTCACGGTACCAGGAGGCCTCACTCCTGCAGAAAAACAGTGAATAAATATATAATTGTATCTGTTTCTATCAAGGACAAATAGAAATGTAAAAGAAAATCCAACAAATTTAGCTGTCTTGGAGTTGTAGTTATTGTTTCTTTATCATTACACCTCCCTGAGGGAGGAGATGGTAGAAGCCACCATAAGAGAAGAGAATAAATGGAATAAGTCCTGTGAGGATCTCTAGATTGATTTATCAGCCTTATCAGAGGCTTACCTACTTCCATGAACAGTTTCTATGCATTATGTGCAATCTAATGAGTTCAGTGCAGTGAATATGATGTATATAGTTCCAATGAAAATAAAACGTTTCTAATATGCCAGGATGTCAAAAATAAAGTGACAGAGCAGAAGTGATATGATATATTCTTTCCTTTTTAAAATAAATGGCAACAGTGCTGAGTCACAACTGCGCTATAGTACTCTACTTAATATTCAGTGTCACTATAAGAGCTGTGTCCGTATGACTTAAGCCTGGTCTTACTGGGTGATAATGATAGAAATCCTTAGAGCACTTGTGTTTGTTCCGAAGTGCTTGGAAACAAAAAAACAAAACAAAAAAACATTGCAAATGAACTGGTTAGATCTTTTTCAATGCAAGATTTATAATCACCATGCCTTTTATTTGGAGAAAAATTATAATCAAAGGCACACCATCTGAATAAATATAGTATCTTGTAAAGTAACTTTTTTCAATTTTAACTACCTTGTGCCATATACTGAGAGTTACTTTAATCCAGCAGTTTTCAGGCTATCTAGTTTGCTTGTAGAGGAAATTCAATGACATTCCTGTTCTCTACGTCTTTCTACCGAACCAGCACAGAAGACAGATGAACTGAAATGCATAATGAAACTGAAATGCATTAATTAAAGAAGGAGCCATTCTTCATTTTATTCCCTCTATTTGCTTTGTACTGATCCTAATCTGTGTTTTTCTTTTCTCCACCTATGCAAAATCATCCTTAAACCTCAATGAGAATGTCTTATAATTTGTTTTAAAAAGCATTGATAAATCTTTGGTCACCCATGAATTTTATACCCTCAAAGTTTAAATTTTCTAAGTTGAATATTTATAATTTAGTGTCATTACTTGTGTATGTGTAATGTAATGTATTATAACCTGATAGATTAAAAACATTTTTAAGAGTGAATAAAGCATTGAAAATCTCACAGGGTTGACTGGTACATCATCAGCGAACATTGCCCCCCTGTGTCTAACTCTTGCAACTGTAAATCCTCTGATGGATGAACTAAAATGCATAATGAAACTGAAATGCATTAATAAAGGAAGGGGACATTCTTCACTTAGTTACACTGTTCCTAATCTGTGTTTTTTTTTTTTTTTCCTGCCAAGAAAAGGTATTATCTGTTTATCCCACTCCATAAAGTGACTTTCCGGTAGTTGGATTGGAAGTGTCCTAAACACAGGTATAGTAATGTAGGGAGAACTTAAATTTAAATAGTGTTTACTTTGGATGTTAGACTTAAATAGGGGATTAGACTCCACCTATGTAAATCGTCCCTAAATCTCAATGACAATGTCTCATAATTTGTTTTAAAAAGCTTTGATAAATCTCAAGTCACCCAGGTATTTTATTCTCTCAAAGTCTTAATTTATATAGTAACTTTTTAAGTTAAATATGTACAATTTAGTTCCATTACCTGTGTATCTGTAATGTTTATATTATAACCTGATAGACTAAAAACTGTTTAATAGGCAATAAAGCACTAAAATCTCACTAGGTTGACCGGTACATCATCAGCGAATATTGCCCCCTTGTGTCTACCTCTTGCAACTGCAACTTCTCTTTGATCATTCTGGCTCAGATCTTATAAAAAAAAAGGTGCAAATGGGGGGCAATTGCGTTTGTAATTCAGCCGAATGTTTGTCTAAAACATTTTTTTTGTCATACTGTATTGATCAAACTACAAATTCAAGGGTGACAGATACGCTAATCTTAAAATTTACCACGTGCACAAGGATTTTCCAAATCTGAAATTAAACAGTGTTTGAAGTTTTTAAGTGCATCTCGTTTCATCTGATTTTTTTCCTCGATTCCCTGCAATTTAAAAAAAAAATGATTGCAGCTGCTATTTGAGGAGACACAATGTCTTACCATCAAACACACCCAAAGTAACTGATTCCAGAATTGTTTAGTAATATTTAATTGATGTAATACAATATGTATGAATATTTTATGTATGATGCAAATGAATATTAAATTCCCAAGTTCACTATAAGGCTGCCTTGTGAGCTTACAAGGTGAACTCAAGGATTTTAGGTTAATTTACAAATTGCTCTTTGCTAAGATTCTGCCCTTTAATTGTCAGACCTCTTAGAGAACGAGCATGGCAGGTAGTTGTAGATCTAAAAGAGATGGTGGAGTTAGTTGTTGCCCGATTTCACACAAATAAAACCATAAGTTATGCTGAGGCCAAGATCCATCATCACATGCAGCTCTGTCTTTACTGATGTTATTTTGGCCATGTGACATGCATGCATGTTTGTTAACAAAAATGGTTTCTGCTCATAAAGTAGATGCAATTGAGTTGATAAAACCAATATATATATGTAATTGGGTTATTTAAATGCTGTAAGTTAGTTGAACATAACTTCATTTAATGCAGGGAGAATATAGATAGACAGAATTAGATTTTATTAAGTTGAACAAGCAAAACATATTAAACTTTGGTTAATGTACTAATTTCCTTTTAAAAGAATTGTTTTGCCATACAGATAAATGGGAATTTGGTTCAGCTTGCAAAGATGTATTAGATGGAAAAACTGCCGCCTTTAAGTTGAGTTAATCCAATGAGTCATTTTTATGAGTATACCTGTTTGAAATTGAAAATAAGGGGAATTGTATGACAAGCCGCCCGGGTACCCCTGCCAAGCTCAAGTATCCATTATATTTTAGGACATGTGCACAAGAAATCTATAATAAACTCTTTACACCAATTTAAAACTACAATAACGTTATCAGATTTTGACCTGCTATGCTCTTGACAGTTCCCTTTGGAGAAGAAGATGTTTTTGTTTTTAAATATCATTTTTCTTATCCACTAAGTAATATTGTTAAACAGGGATTTTTTATTTGGGTTGATTAAATTAAAAATCTTGTTAATGTTTTCAATATAACAAATACTGAGGAATGGCTTGGTATAGAATATCTGTTAATAAACTTCCACATAGTATTAGATCAACCTGCTGCGTCTCCCTTTTTATCACTCTTCTTCAATTCTTTCAAACGACATGGACTTTGTCAATTATAGTATACTTAATACATTCTGGAATGATGGCGTCAGCCTTGGGTAACTTTTATTTTTTATTGTTTTATAGAAAGCTGCAATCTCAATTTGACAAGCATAATTCCTGTGAGTGTCTCTTCGTAATGATGTCTGTAGGGCTAAGGGCTGTCCGGATTCAGCATAGCAGCCTGGTTTCTTAGCCACCCCTACCCAATCACTGGACACCCTGGGCCTCCTCTGCCAGGTGATTTGTTGGTCCCACTGGAGTGTAATTCATCACCATTGGAAGGTCAGTTCTTTTCTAAACCAAGAGGGGGCAGTACTGATTTCATCATGAGCAATTTCCTATGTTTACCAATAAGTGATAGCAAGAATACTGCAATGAATGATTCACAACAATGTGCTATAATTAATGAGAACTACGAATATACTGTTGTCATGCTGTACTCCTGAAAAAATTATCCATTCGGATCATGGAACATTGGCTAAATTTGACCAGATATGGAGACCCTTCTTGGACCTTCTAACCATATTAGACCTGAGACACAAGAAAAAAATAAAAAAATAAATAAAAAAAAACCCACAACTGCCTAAGCTATGCAATGCATCTATTATGTAGAACCATACATTAATTCAAGACCAATGCATAAATATTTACTAGCTTTATTAGCAAGGGTCTTCATGAAAATGTGGTATGTCTCCAGTGACTTATTTGGAAAATATAGATCTTTTGGTGTTCATTTTCCTGTTAGTTTATTGTGCTCAGTATAGATTGACTGTGGACTGGTTTTCCAGCTTCTATCAGTTTTTTTGGCCATCCCTGAGCGCATACTGGCCCCTGTCTGCCCACCCCCTTGGAAATGTTTCTAGAACCGCCACTGCTTGGCTTGAGTCATCTAAAGGTCAAGACATTTTACAGGTTGTTATTTGCTAATTAATTTCTGCAAATGTTTTACATGTAAATTTCTGAATCAGGCCTGAATTTGTTTTTAAATACTTTTCTGGTGAAATAATTCTTTAAAGTAAAAAAAAAAAATATATATATAAATTCTACTTTTAAAGGGGGCTCGATTCTATGGAGTCTACATTTCTTCCATAGAATACCATATATATTATGGAAAAAGGATGTGAAATATGCTGTATTCATAGGAAACCAAAAAAATATGATGTGCACAAAACCCTTGCATTAGTATGCGGCTCTTTTCTTTTATTAAACTCCATTTATTGTCTCTTGATATCCAATTAAACGCTTGACCCTTTGGTAAAGAAAATAATCTTATCTTGGATGGTTTTCTGCTCCAGAGTATGGCTTTAAATCCCCCCTCCCTCCCTCTCCATCCTATTGGGACAGCCTGCTCACACAGCAGCGACACTGACGTTATATTATTGTCTCCGCACCTCCTCCTCCTCCTCTTCCATCCTCCTCTCCTGTCTCCGCACTGCTGCCCCCTCCCTCTTGCTGCTCGGTGTCACCAGCATCATCACCAGCAGCAGACATTTGGAGAGCAAATCCAGGATTGCGGTCAAATCAGCTGCGCGCATCCTGCCTCCCGTGGACATTTCTTGGGAAACATCCGCGGCGTTTTGCGCTGCCTCCAAGGATCATCATTTGAATGTTTTTATTTTTTTGCTTCCCTTTTTGTCTGAACTGTGTGGATGCTTCAATGCAGATTTGCTGGTGCTGAGGAGCCTCATCTGACTGTGAAGGCTGCAGGCCAGACGCGCATTTGCGGGGCCTTTAAATAGAGAGCCAACCACCCGGGTTGTCCGCGTCCTTCCTGCGCCCTGTGGTTGTTCATGGACTGCAGCTGATTTTCTGCAATCTCTCTTAATCATTTGCGGTAGAAGATGGCGGACAGGGCTGAGATGTTTTCTCTATCCACTTTCCATTCCCTCTCTCCGCCTGGATGCAGGTAAGGCTTCACAGTTAATACTGACCAATTATTAAGCAAACGCTAGCAGCCTATAGCTGCATGGATGTGACTATTGCTCTAATGATGCAAACATAAACACGCATGTTTTGTTGGTGATAGAGGTTTGGAATAACCTGCTGTGGGCATCCATGCGCTCCAGACAGCTGATGCTGCTCCCTGGCAGCACTATGTGACTTTATGAATAGCCGCCTCTAATAGGAATTATTTTACACTTTTTATTTGATTTAAAATGTGGAAAACCAAAAACACATATGAACCATGTTGGATCTTAAAGTGTCTGGATAGTCAGCAGTTTGCGCATCCTCTGTGTGAGGCCCACGCCCTGTTGAGTCCAACCCAACAATGATGCTGAACAATGATTTCAGGAAGTCCCACCGGTGATGAAGCTGTTTTCAATGAATTCTGCCGCAAAGCTGCAAAGGTCAGCAGAATATGATGAGATATGTCATTTGCAGCTTGAATAAATAAAATAAAAAAAGCAAAAATCAAAGAAAAGACAATTAAACTAAAGCGTTTTATGTTGAAGAGATGCTGGCCTAAGCTGTTTATGTTTTTGATTGTGTGAAAGACAGCATGGGTGAGGCCATCTTTTAGTTACACAAACCCCCCCCCCCCCCCTTTTTTTTTTGTCTTTTTAAATACTTTGTATTCCAATAAAGTCAGGATCTGATTAGTAAACCAGTGTGAGAGTAACTTTTATTATTTCTTTCCAATGCATATATTTACATTTCTGAAAAGCACAGGCATAAAACCAGAGAAGGTGCTTTTAAATGTGTGTTTTGTTTATTTGTATAAAACCTGTTATTATATAATGTTGGTTCATTGTAGAACAATCAAAGCCAATCAAAGCCAATTACTAATATTATTTGAAATAGAGATGATCAAATATAGTCTTAAACTGTGACAGGAAAAGCTTATCCCCACAGAATAAAGCAATACAATGCCTGATATGAGCTCATGCTCCCTCCTGATGAAATAGCACCCTGGGTGGTGAGCCATACCTTTGATATAAAAAAAAAGAAAATATTGTTGTTCTTAAACTGCAATGTGACACCAAAACCTTTATACAAACAGTGCCACTTGCAAATAAATTGAAGAAAATAAGGGTTTTTCAGAATAGATAGATACTCAGCATCAGTGTCTCATCGAACCTCTTTGCTCCCACATGGCCCACGGAGACAATCATATTAGCCAGCCACACCTGCTGGGTTTTCTATCCAGGCCATGTGCTCATGAGGGATTATCTCACTTTTAAAGATGGATGGTGTAAGATCAATGCGACTGATTTTTTTCTCATATGCCGAGAACTGACCGTAGAGCTAGTGGCGGACTAGTGGATAGGGCATAGAACTTGGAATCCTGAGGTTCTGAGTTCGAGTCCCACTCCCAAGACTTCACTCTGGTCCCTGAGCAAGATCCTTAACCCCACACCACTCCCCGGGTGCCGAACAATGGCAGCCCACTGCTGCCAAGGGGATGGATTAAATGCAGAGAGTGAACTTTGTTGCTCTGTACTTGTGACAGTGTAATGACAATAAAAGCTGGAGAAAAAAAATGTAATGATCAAATTGTTTAGAGATATGCTCATGACTTCCATAGTTTACATTTGTAGTGTTGGCAGAAAGCCGGAGCGAGAAGCATACTATGACATAAATATGGTATCAGAAAGTTCACTATTTACACTCGTGACAATCCAGATATGCGGAAATCTTGTTTACCATGTGTCTCTGCTCAAAAACGTACAAAAACTAAACTCCCCCCCCCAAAGGTATAAACATTTTTTAATGAGATGCCAGAAAATGTTTTTGGTAGCTGAGTGCAGCAAAGATTGATACACAGTTTCCATGAATATGAAAGAAGGAAGCCCACAAGGGAAGTGATTTAAAGTCACCTATTTTGCTATTTCTCCTTAGAATATGAGCATCATATAATAATCTAATATTCAGGAGCCCAACAGTCACTCATCACTAAAGGGAGGCAGAGCTGTGGTAATAATAAAATTGGGAAGTTTATACCATGGAATTAGAATAATGAGCAAAGTTCAGCCTTATTACTGTAATTATTACTAATAAATAAGGTTTATTACTTTAGCGGCAGTAGAAATAACATGGTGTTTACTGCATAAATATTGTAACTTTTTAATTTTTGCCCAAAGTGAACATTGTGGGAAAATCTCAGTCTGGCACAGGGTTTTTTTAAATGTATTTACTTGATGATTCCCAATTTTTCAGATTTTATACGAACACATGTTTTCATCAGAGGTGTAAATGGTGTGGTAGTTTAATCTACCTTATATAACCCTGACTCTGTTTCCAGTCAGCAGCATAATCCATGATACGGGCCGTTCATTTTTGTTTGGGGTTTTTGCTAGATAAATTTATGATAAACTGTAATTCCTTCTGTTTTGGCAGAAGCCTCTTTCAGGTGGATAATGAAACCTTAGCAGATCTGTTCAGCTGATGTACTTTTTTTTTTAAAGACAGATATTCCACCTGGTTCTACTACTTGGTTGCAGATATGTTGTCATAGAAATAATAGAAAGTTGTTTTGTTTGTTTAAAATAAAGAATAATAAATACCTCAATGTGATAGTATATTCTAAAAGCTCATTCTGTTGATTCTATGACATTTTCTCAAAGATGCTCTTCAGGTTTGTGAGGAAAATAAGTTTGACATTGTTTTTGCTAGATTTTGGTTTAGATGGCTAGTCGCACATTCTGTTTAGATCTAATTGATATTGATTCATAAACGACATCTAAAGAAAAACAAACAGAGAGCTTGAAATTCAGGCTGGGTGATATGCACTTCAAATCTTATCACGATATTGGGTGATACTATCATGATAACAGTAAAAGTGACAATTAAAAAAAACCAAACATTACTTCTGCGCAGTCTTCCTTAGGTAGCTCTATAGATGTGACTGCTTACCATAGTGACCATAGCCCCACGATCACCAGTATTACTCTTCAAGAATATATACATTTAAATTTGATTAGAAATATGATTTATAACTTCAAACATCTCGTAGTAGAGCCACATTTTATCTTGTTCAAGTTTTTCAATTCTCCAATGCAATACAATAACAGAAAAAAAGAAAAATAGTAAAAAAAAAAGAAATCTGACAATTCAACTAGTTTTGTTGATTCTAGTTTGTTATTTAGAGGATATATCAAAATTCTTATCACAAATAGATAATTATTACGATAACTGTAAAGAGCGCTGGTTATTTATCCTGAACTCCAATTGTGGGTTTTTGCAGTTTGGAAAAGCAGAAAACAACATTCGAGCTTCGTCCTCGGGACGTTTTTCTGTTTTAAATTATTTTTCTATTATTTTGCTTATGATCTACTGCAATGTAACGCAGCTTCATAACTTCAAGACAAATAAGCATAAGAATGTTACTTAGTTTTGTTAGCTGGGTTGTAATTTCAAGTGAGCAGCTGCCCAATCAGGGATCAGGACAACCATCATCGTAATTTGAAAATGGAAGCAGTTTCATGTGAAAGTATATGAAGTGAAAATAAAAAAGATATGCGATTTATTTATCAGATAGGATTAGTTTATTCCTTTATTTTTCTTATGACAATATATTTACATTTTTGCTTAACGAGAATGAGTACACATCAAAAGTACACATCAAAATACAGAGTGGTTGGTTATACAGTGACCAAAATATTAAAATAATTGAAATAGCATTATTTTTGTGTTAGGAATGCTTTTTCAGTTTTGTGATTTTTATGCTATTTTAATTAAAGAATTATGCCAATTAGCATATGTTTAAACAGCTAGGTTGAGCTAGGTATTATTGTATAATACAAATGTTTTAAATAGGGGCATGTTTACATTTTAGTGTATTTGCAAGCACGTCTCCTTTGTTGTTTCTAAGTTAAAAAATAATCAAGGCCATTTTCTCACTGTATTAAAATGCAAAATACAAAAAATATGCCATGATGCTTTTTAGTGGTCTGACCCACATGCAGAAAACCACTCAGAGAACCAAGGGGAAGTTTAACAGTGTTATTGAGGAGAATCACAGGCAGTTGAATCTGGAACTCAGAGAGCTGAAACTAGAGGTGGAAAGGGAAGTTCACAGCGGTTAGTTCAGTTGCCGTAGGAAACTGGATTGTGTTCTTGAATATTGAGGAAGCAGGACTCACGTTGGAGGGGGTCTCAGACTTATCCTTGAATCCAGAAAGTGTGGGTTTATCCAGAGGAAGGGTACCTCGTTGGAGGGCGGACAGGTTGGTTAGGGTTGGACCCTGAGGAGTAATTTGAGCGGACTACCACTTGGAATTCCAACGGAACTTGAACTGGTCATGTGGAGGTTTTTCCCCTGATCAGTGTGAACACAAAAGATCCTTCCAGGGGGAGAAGGCAAAACTTCCAGTTTGCAGGAAGGCTTCCTGCCAAAAGGCAAAGACAAAAAACAAAGTTAATCTCAGAGAAACAAAGCTCAGGTTAGACTCAGCTAATCTCAGCTTGGCTAGAGTACCCAAAACTGGCAAACGCTCTGGCGTCGAGGTAGTGGCAGTCAATCGCTCAAATACTCCTCAGTGATGAACCAATGAGCCGCAGGTGTGCAAGAGGGCCAACGAGGACAGGGCACCACCTGGTGTTGGAGGGAGAGACAAACACAAAACAACCCACTCAAACTGGATTCCTAACAAAACGGGTCTGAAAATAATAGCCAATCGATAAAATTGTATGTTTTGCTTTAGTGAGGTTAATGCTTCTGTCTTTTAGACTCTCCTTTTCTTTATATTTTCTTCCACCTTTATATGCAACCTAAAAGCATTCAAATCAGTCCATTGTCAAACAGATGTTAACATTACAAAATTGAATTTATCAGGTTATAGATTGTCAAACAAAATACATACAAATTTTCAGAGACCCACTTAAAAACGCAGCTTTAGATATACTACAGATTATTTCTTCGCCTACTGAGTGATCTGTTGACTGTTATTCTATCTGATTAATAGC